TTTTTATGACAGCTACATTTGAAGCTAATCAATGGTGTGAGGTGACCATCAAACGGATGTGGTGCAGCAAATGAGATTGTATGTTGTTTATTTAAAAGTTTTGAGACTTGTCTCATCTTCGTTACACCTTCTCTCTATTTTCTGAAGTGCATTTTTTTTTTTTGAAACCAAGACCCAAGGGGCCACATGTATTAAATTAAAAGGACTTAAGTACAAAAGAGAGCTTAGCCAAAAGTGCTAAACCCTAACAGTTGTTCAGAAAATGCAGAAAGGGAAACAAACAAAATAAGAAAGAAAATGGAAAGGGAAAGAGGAACAGGAAACGTGGAAAATGAAGAGCACGGAAGCTCTTTCTAGTAGCTAGAAGAAGACTATCCATGGTGTAACCAGTCGATCTCGATTAACACTTGATCACATCCGTACATAGTCGATTATCTCTTGCTCACAACCACACAGAGGCGATTCCCACGGAGTAATCCGCTTAATGACACTTGCTTTGATCTCAAATTGACCACCACAATAATGCTTGTTGCATACTAAACCTGAGGTAAGCATAGTTTCTCATCTTCTTAGATTTAATCTCGGTGAGTTGAATCCCACAAATGAAATTGATACCACCACTTGGGTTTAGATCTATAAAAAGGATTACTAACTTTATTTTGTCGAGGTTGCCAATGAATATGACTCTGTTTTGACTGGTACTTGTAGATGTTTATAAATCACAGCATGTACAAATCTTAGCTTTAACTTTCTGTCTACAACATACTCAGGGACAAAATCTCTCATTGTTGTATAGTCCCACCCATCCTCAGTTAGAAATTCATCAACGTTTTTCATGGGGTGACAAGTTTGCTCCTCAACTGCATGTAGGTACAAGGGTCCCACGTTAGACCAATTATCATACCAAACAGTAGAAGTACCTCCTCTAGGTTCCCACCACATATGTTGCTCTAGCATTTCCCTATTCTCAAGTATATGTTTCCAGATTTGGGAACCTTCTTTCCATTGAACAAAGGTATAAATTTGTTTCTTACAATACTTTGTCCACATAGAATTGGACCACAAAGTACCTTGAGTTCTTAAATTCCACCATAACTTTGCATACATAGCCTTTCATACATCAAACATCGACCTAAATCCTAAATCCCCCTCATGTTTAGAAAGACACATATTCACCCATTTAGACCAGTGTTTATTTCTGCTATCTTCCTTATTACTCCAATAGAATTTAGCAAATATTCTATGAATCATATCAATACACTAACAATTTGAATGGGTACCACACCGATACACTAACATTTGTGTGGGAGGAGTTTGGGGGGGGGGGGGGGGGGGGGGGTAATAGAAGAAAGAACATAGATAGGGATTCTTTGAAGAATGCTAGTAAGAAGGACTTCCTTAACCCCATATGAAAGCATTCTCCCTTTCCAACTTTGCAATCTACCTTTAATCTTATTAAATAATTCTGCATAGTGCTCCTTTCTTTTTCTAGAATGTGTAATAGGGTATCCTAGATATATCATAGGGAATTGTCCTCTTACCTTCCTTGTAATCTGTTCCACTTGATTAGCAGAGGTTGCTGATATATTTTGGTGTACATAATAAGAAATATTTTCCTTATTGATCTTTTGACCTGATTGCTTCTCATAATCCTTCAAAATAGACATAATTTTTCCATAGAATATATGTTTGAAGAGGTAAAAATAATGGTATCATCAACAAAAGCTAGATGATTGAGATTAGCACTCCATTTAGGCATTCCATAACAAACAAAATGGGGGTCTTCAAATAGAGTATTGAGAGCTTTAGAAAGGACCTCTGCTAAAATGATGAATAATGTAGGACCTCTCCTGAAAAGATGAATAATGTTGGAGATAAAGGATCCCTTTGTTTAACTCCTCTAGTTGAATGAAAAAACCTATATGATTGACCATTAAGAAGCACAAAGTAGTAATTATTTGCTAGTAATCTCCAAATCAAATCTACCACTCTATTACAAAATCCCATTTTCCTTAGTACTTTCATAAGAAAGGACCAAGAAACCCTATCATAGGCCTTAGCCAGCTTTCTAATCACATTCTCAGGCTTTCCCTTCTTAGTAATATCGGTGGCAAGATCCTGAGCCAATAGAACATTCTTAATGATACTTTTGCCCTTAACAAATCCAGATTGGTTAGTAGAAATCAGTTTTGGGAGAATCTTTTCCAATCTATCATGCGTAATTCTGGACAGGATCTTGTTAATGAAATTACTTAGACTAATAGGTCTCATATCTGAAAAGGACTGAATGATATCCTTTTTGTTAGACTAATAGGTCTCATATCTGAAAAGGACTGAATGATATCCTTTTTGTTAGACTAATAGGTCTCATATCTGAAAAGGACTGAATGATATCCTTTTTGTTAGACTAATAGGTCTCATATCTGAAAAGGACTGAATGATATCCTTTTTGTTAGACTAATAGGTCTCATATCTGAAAAGGACTGAATGATATCCTTTTTGTTAGACTAATAGGTCTCATATCTGAAAAGGACTGAATGATATCCTTTTTGTTAGACTAATAGGTCTCATATCTGAAAAGGACTGAATGATATCCTTTTTGTTAGACTAATAGGTCTCATATCTGAAAAGGACTGAATGATATCCTTTTTGTTAGACTAATAGGTCTCATATCTGAAAAGGACTGAATGATATCCTTTTTGTTAGACTAATAGGTCTCATATCTGAAAAGGACTGAATGATATCCTTTTTGTTAGACTAATAGGTCTCATATCTGAAAAGGACTGAATGATATCCTTTTTGTTAGACTAATAGGTCTCATATCTGAAAAGGACTGAATGATATCCTTTTTGTTAGACTAATAGGTCTCATATCTGAAAAGGACTGAATGATATCCTTTTTGTTAGACTAATAGGTCTCATATCTGAAAAGGACTGAATGATATCCTTTTTGTTAGACTAATAGGTCTCATATCTGAAAAGGACTGAATGATATCCTTTTTGTTAGACTAATAGGTCTCATATCTGAAAAGGACTGAATGATATCCTTTTTGTTAGACTAATAGGTCTCATATCTGAAAAGGACTGAATGATATCCTTTTTGTTAGACTAATAGGTCTCATATCTGAAAAGGACTGAATGATATCCTTTTTGGGAATGAGAATCAAATTAGTATGAGTAATGAACCTAGGTAAGGAGCTGCCCACATAAAACTCACACACCATTCTACAAATATCATTGTCCCAACAAACTTGGTAGAATCTACATGTAAGTCCATATGTACCACTAGAATTGTCCTCATTAAGATTAAAAACAACATTTTTCACTTCTTCTTCATTTGGAACAATCCCCAACTCAGTGTTTTCATCCTCAGAGATTAATTATGGTATGTGGTCCAGCAAGGTGATATTAGTGGCATCTCTGTCCTGATGAAATTGGTTTTGAAAGTGTGTTATTGCCTCCTGAGCCATTGTATTTTCATCTTCCAACCATTGTCCTTGTGCATTTTGAGTTCTTGTTACCTTCATTCTTTGTCTTCTCCTTTTCACCAAGCTATGAAAGAATCTTATGTTTTTATCACCCCTGTCAAACCAATCATACCCTGCCTTTTGTTGCCAAAATTTCTTCTTTAGATGCAAATATCTAGTATATTCATCCTTTGCCCTTTGCATAATAACTATATTTTCAGCATAGGGAAATTCCTCAAAGTGCTTTTCCTTGATTCTTGCTATTTCCTCTCTGATGATGAGTTGTTTGAATATGTCTCCAAAAGTTTCCTTATTCCATAAAGAAAGAGCAGCCTTTACTTTCTTAATCTTCCTCTTGAAATCCAGAAAATAGTTGGTTGAATACTCATCATCCCAAATCTATTTAATCACATCCTTGAAACCCCTATGCTTAGTCCAAAAATTCAGGAACCTAAAAGGTTTGATGAATCTGGAATATCTATTTTCACATGAGAATAAAAGAGGAGCATGATCCGATCTAGTTCTAGAAAGATGTTCCACTTCTGAGAAATTGGATTGGTCTTGCAACATATTATTAACAAAAATTCTATCTAATCTCTCAAAGATGCAATCACATCGAGCCCTACCATTCCACCAAGTAAATGGAGTGCCTTTAAATTGAACAAGATATAGCTCATTAGATTCAATACAATTTTAAAAATCTTCAACCTCATTCCCTGTCACTGGTCGACCACCAATTTTTTCTTCCTCATTAAGAAACACATTGAAGTCCCCTCCTATTATCCATGAATATTGCAGACCATCAGCTACTTGGGAAATATCTTCCCATAGTTGCATTCTCTGATAGAGGTCACATTTTTCATAAATAATAGTAACACATGTTGATTTAGAATTTTGATTTCTAAGCAATACAGAAAGTTGTTGCTCAAAATTTCTCACTTCTGTTACATCAAATCCATGATTCACAAATAACCAAATTTTACCACTACTATTGGAATACCCCTTTGCCACTTTCAATCTTCTATTATATCTGTTCAAGCCTCCCACATGCTGAAACAGTTCCATCAGAGCAACAAAACTGAACTTGTGAAAATTATGTAACATCAAGACTCTTTGGAATGCATTTTACCTAATATTCCATATAAGGGCCTTCATTGATAACATTATTTTTTATGTGTCACCTGCCTCTTCGGCTGAGATCTGATGGGTTGAATAGATTCTTCATTACCTTGTTTTTTATTCTTCTTTGCAAACTTTATTGATTTAATACTTCTAGGTGAAAGGTCCTCTACTTGAACATTTGTGTCACATAATTGGAGGTGTCCGATTTCTGATTCTTTATAGGTGAGAATATTATGAAGAACCTCATTAGGAGATTGAGGTATTGCCATTGTAATGTCTTCTGTCTGAATAGGAGTAGGGAAAGGCACAATATCTAAATCATTATTTGACTTATGATCATTAATGTGAATCCCATTATCCGTCATCTTGACACTCTCATATGGACATAATTGATTTTTAGTTTGTGTTGCAGGACTGTTGGAATCATCATTCAATAACTCATCTCCGAGTATTTCCTCTTCTTGACTGGACGGAATGTTGATCTCTTCCTTATTGTTGTACACCCCCTTATGTTCTACACTCATTTTTCTATCTTCTACATGTGCATATGTCAATGTTGAATTGGGTTGAGGTTCTTGTCCATTATCCCTTAGACTTGCTTCATTTTTGTTCATATTTTGTTGTGTTATGTTGTCCCCTGTTTGCTCTTTGCCTTTGTGATTTCCTCCATGTAACACAGGTCCAAAAGACTTAGTTACCCATTTTTTTTAGCTAATTATCCTTTTGTAATTATGTAGTATCTTGTTGTGACTTATCGTTTCCCTTGCTGATATCATATATGTATTCTTCTTCATGTGCAAGAGCACCAAATTTGTTACTCATCACAGTGGTGGATGTGTTTGATTTACTGGGACAACCTCTTCTATCTTTAACTACAGTCCAGTTACCCAGATCCCCTACTACGTTCCCACTTGAAAGAATTTTGGCATTTCCTTTTTGAAGAATGGTTGCTGCTCTAGATTGGTATCATTTTGAAATTGTTTTGCATGTTCTTCCTTTCTCCTTTCATTTACCCATGCTTTACAGTTAATTGTGTTATGTCCTTGCATTTTTCACTCCAAATAATATTTAAGGACATAATCATATTGGATGGCTATCAAACTTGACCTCCTTTCCTCCGTTTTAGGATTTTCTATATTCATCTGTACTGAAGTAGGAAAATTTCCTTTGAGATCCACCAACACTTTTACACGTGCACAACTAGGCCTCGTCTTCTTTGTTGTTGCTTGATACAATTGGATTGGTTTACCAACTGTTGCAGCAATTGAAAACAAACATTCGTTCAAAAAGAATGTTGGCAATAGGTTAGGAAATGAAATCCATGCCATCGCCATAGTTGTCTCTTGAGAAACCTTAAATCTCGAATCATAAATAAGGGTACGCATCAAGTATGAGTACCCATCTTTACAGTTTATGTAGAAAGCCTCTTTCGAGATCATGTTAACATAGTCCTCTTGTTTTGTTAGCCTAATAAGAATATGCTTTACTCCGTAGCAATGCTATTTGACAATCACCTTTCAAATCACATTGTTGAGGAATTATCCTTCTCAACTCTTCAAGATCCGTCCATTCATACGAGAACTTCCCAATTACTGCAAATTGGAGTTTTTCAATATGAGTCATCTTAATTACTTCCTGCTCTGTCCATTTTACTTGTGGAATACCTTCCACATAAGTTATTTCCTTTATTAACGAGCTATCCTCTAGGATCTCATTATCATTCAAAGTATCTGGTTTTCTCTTTAGTCATAATAGAGTTAACAGTTGAATTGATTTTTTTATGTTGAGGGTAGGGTTGATGGTAGGAGAGGGATTTAAGAATTTGGTAGTAGAAAATCAACCCCCGGTGAGGGTTGGCCGCCTTTCGTCGCCACCATGAATTAGGGTTGTAATCGTTTAGTTTTCGTGTTTGGATGTTGTTACATCAAGTGCATATTTAGATGAGTGACAATTGTCATATTTAAAAATCTAAAGGTCTAGATTAAATTTTATTTAACAAGCCTCTTAAACATAGTTAAAAAAAAAAAGTTAGGAAAAAAATTCACTAAATTTTGTAAGAAAATCTCATCTTTCACTAATTTTGGCACCTCATTAATATAATTATTTTCATGATATATGTTTTACATAGCTACTAATATCATTTTTCTAATCTTAAGTTAAAAATTTTCTCTGTTTTTTTATAACCGACACAATAAAATCATAAATAAAGATGTAATCAGATCAAGTTTTTGGCTAAAATCATTCCTCAACTATGACTCAAATCTAATGTACATCCTTATATTATCTAAGTGAGCAAAAAACATCCATATACTATCCAAAAAATAACAAGAATCATCCTTCAGTCTATTTTTTGTTAAGAAACTGATAGAACAAATAAAAAAAAAAATTTGTAAAAAAATTTGGTCATGTCTTAGCCATGACGAGAAGATCAAACTACCTAAAAAGAATAAGGATATGGATATGAAATGAATCTTTCATTCTCAGAATTTAAATTTTGTGTGTTGTTAGTTTATATGTTTTTTGCATCATCAAGTAAATTGACTTGCAACAATAAGTAAGTTTTGAAATATTTATACAGTAGGTTCCGATGGCTAGAAAGATTATGTAAAAAATTCATTTTAAAAATATTACGTCCAACTATTTAAAGATTTTCTTTAATAAAATATTTAGTACATATGTACGTTATATACAATGCAATTCACATTTTATACAATGTACATAAATGCTGGAAATTTAGTGAAATTACGTAGGCGTTTAGTTATGAAAATAAAAAAATAATAACTTTATTTGAAATTTTTGAAATTAGGATTGTATTTGGCCATACTTTTAAAAAAGAATATTTAGAATTTGAATATATTTTGTATGAATATGATTTAAATCCTCAGTTTCTAAAAATTAGAAAAATCACCCGACTTGACTAGCTTAACCATGTGTACATATATTCATTCGACTTGACACATTTTTTTTGTTGGTGGCGTGAGTTTCTTAAAAAAATAGACATAAGGATGAATCTTGCAACTTTTTGGATAATGCAAGGATGTTTTTTGTTCATTTATATAATATAAGGATATACTTTAAGTTTAAGTCATACTTCAAGGATGATTTTAGCCAAAAACTCTAATGAGATCAAACATGGGGTAAAAAAGCAGCAAAATAATTAAGAAAAAAAAAAGAGACCAACTTTATTTTTAAACATAAATTATGCTAAAACATTTTACAAATACTATTATACAATATATTTTTTCCTCTCCATTTGTTTTTCATTTCTGACATAAATTAATTCGTCAAATACTTTATATTTTTACACAACAAAAATATTATTACATTTTTTTCCTGTCAAAAGTAGTTTGCAAGATTTTAACAAAAATTAAATGAACAATATAACGTTATATGTTAAAATAATTTAGAAAGCATGATATGAAATTTGTCTTTTTTTAATACTAAACTAGTGTACTTGTCCGCGCTTTGCGCGGTTATAAGAAAAACTTAAATATATTTTTAAATAATTAATGTCACTATTTGATAAATGTTTTAATAAATAATATAATAAAAGAGAAAAACACAAATTAAAATACGACTTTGATATTACTTATTCAGAAAAATTGCTGAAAAGAAATTTTCATACTGATTAAAAAGTTGAAAATATAAACGTTGATATGAAAAGCTTCAGTTAATTGACAATCTAATTATCATAGTTTCATACTAAATTCAATGATTTTTATTGGTTCAATCAACAATAGTAAATCTACTCGATCATAAATTACGTGACTTTCTTTTTGTTTAAGTGACACAATAATGAAAATAAATAAATAAAGATACATTTGTGGTAAATCACAGTGAGAAAGAAATATTTGTATCATATTCTAACATAGTTATGCACGAAATTCAAAAGTTAGAGATAAATTTTTTTCGATATTTGATGTTCGTATCGACACTCATCTAATATAATTTGTGTCTCATAAAATCCATTGATATTAAATTTTGTGTATTTAAACTCTCATTCTTGTAGAGACATTGTGAGAAGAGAAAATTAAGTTGCAATAGTGCAACATTACGGTTGAGGTTACATTTATACAAAAAAAAAAAAGTTGAACACATAACGTAAAATGAGATATAAAAAATAAGTCATGATATCATTTAGTGACTTGGTGTGATACTTACCTAATCCAATTATATAGAGATTATCAAAGAGCGACAAAGAAAATATTTTTTAAAAATAATACGTGTATGCAATTTTGAAGATAGGTCAATAAAAAGTTTGTCAACATAAATACAATTATTTATATTATTGAAATATTATCGTGGTAATTATTATAAATAAATTGGAGTAACAACTCTCCAAAGGATAACTCCTTCTTTGATGTAGAAAAAAAATAAAAGAAACTTTCATTTGCTTTCAATAATAATAAATTTAATACACATTAATCATCTATTCATCACATTTATTATGGTAAAAAGAAAAAAGAAAAAAAAATATTTACACCCCACCCCATATATGTTGTGAAGAAGAAAATTAATTTATATATATGATTTTTTAAACACTTTTAACATAAATTTTTTATTGAGAAAATTAAATGATGGAATTTAAAGTTTTTCTTTAAAAAAAATAGAGTTGAGATTTTTTTTTTATTATTATTATTTATATGTACATAATTCCTAATTTTACTATACATATACATTTGATCATTTTTTTATAAATTTTTTTATAATGCCTCTTTTTGTAGGACAATAAAATGAAATATCAAATGATATCATGAACATGATTATTCATATAATTTAGGAGTTATGATCACCAAAAGTCATTAAAGTACGGAAAACAAAGATACTTAAATTTTTATATTAGAAAAAAATATGAATCAATGAAGGAATACTAGTAATGATACATTCATTTTTGTACAATAGTAAAAAATAAATAAATAGAAAAATTGTCAAAAAAAGAAGAAGAAGATAAATAAGATTCTAGGCCAAAGAGATGTGTTACACCACTTTTCTTATATCTAGATAATTCTTATGTTGGTAAAGAAAGTAAGTTGAGAGAGAACAACTTTACTAAATCATTTTTATCCGAAACAAATACTTTTGTATTTCAATTTCTGACCAAACATATTGTAATAGTGATCTTTGAAAATATCAAAAAACTTGAGAACTTCTAATATTAATAATAATAAAAAAAACTAAGAATATGAAGACTATAAATTTCCATATCAATAAATATCTTTTTATAAATTATACAATATTTTAAAAATTATGAATTAACTTTGCATTCTCATGCTCTATCATAATAGTTATTAAAAATTGATTTACATGACTACAAAATTATATACACATGCTTTATTGAGTAGCATACATGTTTGTGTTGGCTTTCTTTTCAGCTTCTATTTTGAGAAAATACATAAAAAAAATCTAAACTTGGTCGGATAACTTACTTTAGCACTTAAACTACACGGGTATTTAAATACCCCCCCTTAACATCTTTGAAGTGAATTAAATGCACCCCTAAGAGATGACGTGACAAAGAGAGTGAGTTCACTCACCTAATAACGTGTGAAGGAATTAAAAAAGAAAAAACATTATAAAATCATACACATGTCATTTTTTTATAGGTCAATATATAATTAATATTTTAAATATTATTTTCTTAATATATTAACTTTTATTAATTTATATGAATTTTCTTATTGGCCCACAAAACTTTTAATTTTTTTTCTCTTTATTTTATTGTCTTCCCCAATAAGCTTCTTCACCATTGAAGCATCCTTTTTTCCTCCATCTTCATCTTCAACTCTATCAACTACTTCAAGTGATCTTAGTCAATTTTCATAATTTATAAATGGCAAATATATTTCATATAGTTTTATAGATATAATCGATA